GAAGAGTTTTTATAAAACTTTATGAGGTAGAATATCATGCCCCTTACAGACCACCTGACTTTGTACTTTTTAATTCCCTTTCGCTAATACCAAGTTGGCAACCATATGGACTTGTGATGTGTGTCAATAGTATTAATAATAATCACAGCATATTGCTACAGAATCCTGAAACTTTGTGGTGGCTGCATGATACCTATATTTAGCTTTTGCATAGATCATTACTGATGAACCATTGTAACAAAACATTTCAAATTCTGTATGAAAATGTTATATGTTAATTGCACTCATGCTGGTACAAATCTATGAGAACCAATGAGATAAATTTAGCTTAATAGAAACATGTATAACTATTATACACAGTAATGAGTGATTAAGTTGTAAAAGTAATTTATAGTGCCTGCTAGTCCTATATAGACTAAAACACTGGCTTAAATCTATTGTGAAGCTAACTGCTTAAGTATTCACCAGTTCACCTTAATTATAAACTATGTTTAATGTTATGAACTAATCTTTTGTATATTGCAATGATTTTGGGGAAATTTCATAAGTTTAATTTGGGCATTATGATTATGCAGTATACACCAAAATAAATTTACCCAACTTTTGTATAATTTTAGTGTTAAACCCCCTGAATATAAAATTTGTTTGAAAATTATGTGGTGATTTTGGTGATGAAATTTGTGGATGGTCTTCCATTATGTATCAATTTTGTGGACAGTTCAATAAACATATAATAAAAGGCTTATGTTCTGACTGGTAATATGTAAGCGTTGTGAGCTTCAGTTTCATTGTGTGTGTGTATACATTAATACATCATATACAAAATGTAAGGACAACATTAATATTTTTTACAAATAAACTATGTGAAATTCTGAATTAGTCTTCAGATGACTCTACTTCCTCATCTGTGGAAATGTAAGTTAGAAGATCAGTAAGCCCTGCAAACTCAGTTCGTCCTTGAGGCGGGTCATTCCTAGGTATCCTAGGCATTGCTGAACCAACTTTCATTCGGAATTCTTTCATCTGGAAAGAAAAAATCAGAATTTTAATACATTATATTACAGCCAATCAGTTTAGACTACAGACATGTGTTTCACACAAGTTCATATGATGGCTCATATAATAATTACTACAGGTTTGTGTAGTGGTAATACAGTGGACTTGTATTTCATAGGTAATTAGTTTGAATCACAGCTAAATTAGAAGTTATTATGACAGGTTTTTCAATGTGTCCAGGCAAATACCATAACAATGGCCTACCTTCACAGAGGACATAACATAACTGCCTTCCAAGTCCTTACCTACTTACCATTCATGACTTTATTTACAATCTCATATGGTGCTATATAATTTCTGCAGTTCTAGGTCCATGTTAATGTTAATTTAGTTTGTTTTACACCATTTTCAAAGAATGTTACTTAGTTCATTTATATGTATATTACAAGTTTTGATTGTGTAGTAATATTTCTGAAACAGACAATATCACTTATTTGTTACTCAGGTTGTTTAGATTTTTGTGGTTCTCTGTCCCTCCAGGCAAATACTGGGATTGTGCATTTATTAATAGGCAATGACTTTTGTGGCCAGTTCATGATCATACTCATCCTCCAATTTAAGGCTTATAACACCTGTGCAGTTTAGAAAGCACTCAAATGGGGGGGGGGGGGCAGTATTTCTATACAAAACTTTTGTGTGGGCATGCAGTGGAATGTCCATAATATAATAAACAACTGTGATCATTTTTCAAGGTATACAATTCACTGGTGGAATGGTGGAGGTGAAGTCCCCAAAATTACATCTGCAGTATGATTGCTGCTGTAGGGTCTATTTTTTATATTGCTTGTAACAAAATTATAATTCCTGTTGTAGGTTCATGTCATGATCATATTTGCATAAATAAAAATACTATCCTGATTTGTGGGGACTTCCTGAAAACTGTTTATCATTCCCTGAATTTAGGGATTATTATTCTGGCCTGGCAAATTATGGACTAAACTACTGTCCCTATTTAGTACTCACATCATTTACTCCTGCTAGTTTCCAGATTGAGTAGAAGAAAACAGTGCATCCTACAACAGCATACAGAGTACCCCAGCCCAGGGCTCTTACTGCAAGTGAAGCCCCTGTCTCAGTCATTTCTCGGGTACCTGTTATTCCTTTGTTGAAGAAGGCGGGATCCTTCTTTCTTACTGAGCCTATCGTGGTCCCAAAACCTACTAATGCTGATATTCCCGCAACAGAAGCAAGGAAAATACCAGCTGAAAGAAGTATTTGTTTTATAAATGTCCCATGAAGCATTGTGATGCTTAACACAATATAAGTACAATACAATTATAACCTGCATGTGCCAAACACTAACCTCAGTAAATATTAAAAAGGAGTTTGCTATATTGGAATCAAGCTATTCAGTAATCCCCCCCACTATATAAAAGTCAGAATTACGATAAGAAGAAGTTTAAGTCAGCACTAAAAGAGTATGTCCTATATCAGTCCTACTCCATAAAAGAATTTACCTCAACCAAAAATTCTGTGCTATTACAAATATATGTAGGCATTGTCATTATTCTTTAGTGTGTAATTATTTTTGCGGCAATACTGTAGCTGTCATAACATGTAATTTATATGACGTTCTACATCCACAGCTTCGGCCTACGAAGGATCTATGGAATGTAAATAAACTCTATTCTATTCCGTCATGCACATCAAAATGATTATATACAAACGAAACACTTCACCTTTATGACATGTCCTTATAAATACATTAACCCCAAATAAGATTTGAACGTAGTCAATATACATTAACCTTACATGGTCATGATTAGTTACACATGGGTGTTTAGATGGGCATGTCTCATAGACTGATTTAAAGGTACTCTGCACATGGGGTGTCTTTTCACGTGTGTGTGTACAATGATGAATGTCTATGCATTCTTTGTCAAAAGGGACTTTGATAAGACCAGATTTTATCCGAAATGTTCGGTCTTCGAAAATTATAACAAACAAACCGCACTGCGACTGCTGCATTACAAGTAGTAAAACTTTCATGCATTTTCTTTTACGTGTAAAATAATGAGTTTCTCCATTTCCTTCTTCAGTTTAAGATGCGAGACGAAATAAATGTTAGCTGGAGACATAACCTAAGTACCTTTAAACTTAAAGTTCTTATCATTTTCTCCATCCTTATACTGACAATCTATTTTGTCAATGTTAAGCACTTTCTTATAAGAATCCATTATACCATATTCGCCGTTGCGTTTATTTGTGAATATGAACGAGGCTACATTGCCCATCAATAGCAATGATGTTACATCTGGTTTAATCTGTGATGCTATTTTTTGTACTGACTATTAGCTCGAATACCACATCTTCGCTTGCTGCTTTTCATTTTTCTAGTTTCTTTGACTCACCGTTCGGCCTTCGCTGTTTGTGGCGCTGTAAAATTTGTTACGTGATAAGATTACTGTCTAATGGGATTAATCGGATGTGTACGTTTGAAAATTTGTTTAGTTTAAGTGTACCATAATAATTGAAATTAAAATGGCTTTTGGATGCACAGATTTTGTGAAGATGAAAAAAGAATTAACATGAAACAGCAGCAGTTCTTAATTCTAGAATTAATTTTGAAAGAAGTGTGCCAAAATAATTTCTTTTGGAGTGTCACTGAAAGAACTTTGGTAAAATCCTGATGCAAAACTAATGGTCAAAGACCCTGATTACCTTTACCACCCTGTCCATACGGAATCCCCACCAGGAAGGTCTTCCCAGGGATTAGAAGATTTTGAAAAAATGCCGCATGTTACACGGAAATGGGAATTATTTGCTGGAAGGAATCGCTTTTGTTGTGATGGGCGTATAATGATGGCCCCACAAACTGGTGTGTTTTATGTGACTCTTGGCCTTATAGTGGGGACTAGTGGTCTCTTCTTTGCATTTGAGTAAGTGTAATGTACAGTGTTTAAAAATATTGCAGCAGTAATTCTCTGCTTCTGTTATCTGATTACAGTCCTTATTCTTTCATTATAGCTGTCCATATCTCGCAATTCAAATAACACCTGCCATTCCAGTAATAGGGGGAGTGCTGTTTCTGTTCGTCATGTCAGCATTATTAAGAACCAGCTTTAGTGACCCTGGTGTTATTCCAAGGGCTACACCAGATGAAGCTGCATACACTGAAAAACAAATTGGTAGGTTTTTCTTTTGGATTTATTGTTGTGGCAGTTAAAGATTTATAATGAATTTTATGCAAACATAACAGTTCTGTAACCTTCTGAATTTGTTGTGGTGAAGTATCACATTGTAAGTATTATTGAGACTAAAAGTGAAAATGGTGTTGCATGCTCTTGTCATTAACTGTTTAGCCAGTATTATGAAAAACTTACATTAAGATGCAACATGTCAGAGCAAGAAAGTGGACAGAAGCCATGAATACTAGGGGTTCACTGAGTGCTTATTGTAATGTATGGAAATCCGTGTAGTCTCAGAATCCTACAGAAACTTACAGAAGTGTTTTAACGAAGTAGCTAATAAGTTCTCTGGTAGTAGAACCAGAAGGTTCAATGCTTGTAATACAACATCTTTGTCATTAGACATGATCTGAGTCAGTATCTTTTGCCTTCCATCCTCACAGTCAATTTCCTTAAGATCCATCTTAATGTTTTCCTTCTATCTCCTTCTTAGTCTTCCAGGTTATCTCTTTGTTAGAAGTTTTCCTTTAGAAATTCTGTTTGTATTTCTTTTTTTTCCCATTCTTGGTACATTCACAGCCCAGATTTTACTGCTTTAGTAAACCTAGATGGCCAACACAGACCACAGATTTTCTTATATTATAAAATATATTTTCCCCCCTTTTGTCTCACTAAGTATTTAAAATGTTTCTGTATAATGTAAAGAAGAGAATATGTCAAGACATAATCAGCAAAGGTACTTGAATTCTTACCATTTAGTTTCATATGTGGTGCTAGGAATGCAGCTATATGTTGTATAGTGTTACTGAAGTTTCAGGTCTATAAGCATGTAATTTTTCTGCACAGTACAATTAAAGAATAATTGGAACTTGTAACATAATAACTGGAACACATTTCTGCCGTACGGTACAAAACGGTACATTATAAGAAAGATTGATTATTAAGTACTAATGGTGTTGTCAGTGTTTCTCACGTTACAAACAACAAATGAGAGCAGTTTTAGGTTATCTGGTGATGGTGACATGTATTCTTTAGGACTTATCCAGCATCTAAGGTTTTAAAACTACAGTATTTTAGAAATTGATTCTGTTTTTGTCATCGGGTGATTGGTGGAATTGCAAAACCATATTTGTTGTGCCTCATTGTTGGAGCAAGTTTTAACCTTCCTCTCATTCTTTAGGGTAAAAATGAAGTTGGAGGTGAAATTTTATATCACCTATAAGACTACAGAACATCATAACCCATAAAATCGCAATTTAAAGTCATTGTATCATTTGTTTTGTATGTTTGTGAAATGTGGGCTCTTGTTTTGATGGAAAGATTTACAGCAGGGGCAGGAATTGTCTTGTCTTTACCATCTACATGATTAGACATTGCTATTAATATTATCAGAATTATAAGATTTAACATTTGATAGTGTACTGAACAGTACTAAACCATCTCAGCATAACATAAACCTAATTATGTTATGTCTAAGAATTAAAATTGTTATTGATAATACTGATATTAAAACTAACAAACAATGATTAATATTTAAATGGAAACTGTTGAGTCTCCTAACCATTGTAATATTTAGTTTACAACTCTGGTGTCTCCTGGGAGTTCTTTCCCCAGGGATAAAGGAGCCAGAGTATGAAGCTGCTGCTTGTATGCCTTCATGGCCAGTTACTAAGGAACAGGGACATTCTTATGTATGTTACAGTCTATGGATCTCAATGCTAATTTTGAATTTCTCCCTGTCAGAAGTTCCAAACAGTGCCAACTCACCTACATATCGCCCACCACCAAGAACAAAGGATGTCCTGGTTCGAGGACAACCAGTTAGGCTCAAATATTGCTACACGTGTAAGATATTCCGACCACCTCGAGCATCGCATTGTAGTCTGTGTGACAACTGTGTTGGTAAGTTTCAGTTTAAGTGCTGTATTACATTTTATCATGTATTGTTAATTGTTACCTTTTATCATTGTTTCACATGCTTGCTTCAAGTCCCACCCATCTCATCTTTCTTGTTTAAAAACTCTGTTTTTGAGGTAGTTTTAAGAGAGGGATGAATCAGTGCTAATTTGTCAGATGAATAAACTACATTGTAGGGTAGGCATATGCTATGTGTAAGATAACAGATATTGGTTAAAGTATTTAGTTAAGCATGTGAAATTTGTATTATGAGAAATTTTGAATGCATGGTAGGTTTAGTAGTAACCAACCTGCAGTGCACCATCTGCTTGTTCTAGCTTACATTGAAGTGCTGCAGGCTGTATGTGATTAATTGGTTTGCCAGCGGACTGCGCAGTGTTAATAGAATCATGTTCAATTCTTCATGACTGTGGAATATATGTCTTGATTTTGGTGATTTTTTGTGACAGCCAGATAGGTTTCATTAGTCAATCAGGGTAGGTATATATTGAATCTTCCATATATGTTTACAAGTACCTGTTCCTGTAATGTTCTTCTGTTTTCTCCAAATAATATATGAAAAGCTGACCATGAAATCTGTTCACTGATTTTGTAAGTCATTAAATAATTTTAAAAAGTATGGAGCATAAATACTTGTTTACTATATTTAGGAATTCTTCAGTGTATCTTTCAAAATCGGGTACAAGTGTTTGGACATATTAAATTTCAGCAAATGTGGTACTTTTCCGTGGTGATTAGAATGTAACACAGAACAATGAGACTGTAATATTTGTTCGTGTTGTTGCAGAGCGATTTGACCATCACTGTCCATGGGTAGGCAACTGTGTTGGCAAGAGAAATTATCGATATTTCTACATGTTCATCATATCTCTAGCGTTCTTGTGTGTGTTTATCTTCGCATGCGCAGTCACACATCTCATTCTTCGTAAGTTGAGTACATAGATGTTTAAGAAAAACAAGATTTTTAGCGAAATCCTGATTGATGCAGTGATGTGCTGGTACTCATTTTTAAATAACATTTGTTTTGCTGTTTACATCCATAAATGTGTCCTCTGACCCAAATTCATCATGCTGTTTAGTGTTTTCTTTATTTACTTATAATACTTAAATGTTTATTCCATGTGTTGAGGTTGGTATATGTAATGTAATATTAAGATATCTGTCTTGTGGGATGTAGCGCTATGTAGTCTGATAGATATTGACCTACATTTCACAGTAACTTTCTGTCTTCATCATCAGGGCGATGAATAAGTTGCATGTGTAATAGTTGTAGTAGATACAAGAGTAGGTTGGAAAGGACAGCCCTAGCTGGACCATTGGGAGATGGGAGACCTGGAGTGATGATAAGCAGAACAGGAGAACCAGTGGGAGAAAGTTGGACCTTATAAGGCAATATGGACTAGAGAATACGTGAGATACACAGTGAGATATAAATAAATAGATCCAAGATTTGAGCAAAGTTAAGAGAATCAAAATAAGGAAAATAAAATAAATAAATAAATAAAAATTAAAATGCATTGACTCCTATACACAGGATTCAGTCCTGTAAATTGTCACATATAATGAAACACCTAAAACAGGAAATATGTACCAATCACCATTTTGATGTTAAACTGGCATCAGAATTCTTTGATGCTAAATAAAACAGGAAATATGTAGCAATCACCATTTTGATGTTGAACTGGCATCAGAATTCTTTGATGCTAAGATTATCATCTGCATCACATTCCATGATAAGCTACTGGTAGGATATTGATACACTTCATATTACTGGAATAAAACCATGAATATACAAAAATGCAAATACTGAAAGTGCTTAATGAGAGTAACCTGTAAAACAAGTACAAGAGAACAAGGAGAGAGATGGAAGAAATAGCCCTGATACTAGGTGGGGGAGCAAGGAGAGCAACAGTGAAAACTACAGACTAAATGCAAATGAAATGAAGATTAAAAATAAAGGGGAATTATTACAGAGAAATATTAAATGAAACAACGTGAGATTGAAAAGGAGTGGATAGCTAAATATTTTTCTGCAAGTATCTGGTATTGTGGTGTAAGAAGTAGAGTCTCATACAGAGGATGTGTGATGTGATCCCTGATTAGCTCTGGGTGCAGTATTTTAGAGACAAGTTCTGAACCTTTATATCTTACAATGCTAGAAGATATAAGGTTTGCTGTGTGATATGTAAACCTTATTCAGTTATGAGAACTGAGCAAGTTTGTGTAGTGGTAGTGGTATGGTGTGGTAAAGCAGCAGCAAGTGGCAACATGCAGTCAAGAAAATGCATCTAGGGGAGCACAATAAGTCCTTGTGTAATTGAAGTGTGTAGTGTTGGTGTTAACTGTGTAAGATTTAATTCAGTGTAAAAACTAGCCTAGGAGTATTATTGTGTTATATGTAAGGGACATAATGTAATTAAAAATGTTTTATTTCTGTTGCTGATTTTAACAATTAAACTTCTCTATAGAACTGTTTATATGAAGCATACTGTGGACAAATCAGTTTTGTTAAATGACTGTTTATTTTTGGACCCCCGCACATAGTGATCACTCATACTGCAGTTCATAAGTACATTTACATGTTGTTTTCATTGTGACAGTTACAAGAGAAGATCAACCATTTCTGGAGGCTGTGAAAGATTCTCCTCCAAGTGTGATTGTTGGAGTTGTGTGTTTCTTTAGTGTCTGGAGTGTTTTGGGACTTGCCGGTTTCCACACATACCTTACCACTTCAAACCAAACTACAAATGAGGATGTGAGTAGCATATGTATAGTGTACACTTTGTTGCTAAGAGATGATTGGGTTTTCTAATACAGTAAAATTGTGTCTAAAGTACCATTTGCATTAAATAGAAGCCTGCCTCTATTAGAAACGTCCTGTAGGTCTGAGAATGTACAGTGACTGCCATTGTAAAATTATGTAAACTGTAAAAGTGTTGGAAAAGAAACAGAAGTAAAAACAAGAGCTTAATGGAAAATTGAATATTTGTGTACATATAATTTTGTTATGGTTTTGGAAATTCATTTGTGATTGGACAGTAATACCACAAATGTGAAAGAATTAAATCTGACTGTCAACAGAGTATGTGCTATTGGATGCTAAGGTAAGTAAAAAAGGAAGGAAATAGAAAAGGGGAGGAAAGAAAACTAAAAAAAAAAGGTTACTAGTATGTTTCACTGTAGTGTGTTTGTTAGCATAAATCTCTGGCTTGTGATTTGGATCTTAATTACATAAATGGTATATATATAACATGTGAGAGTTTTAATTGAAAAACATTTTTAAATGTGGCTAATTTAAAGTTTAATAATGAGATAGAATACCTTTAGGATGGTTTATAGGGAAGTAGGATATGTGGACAGGAGGCAGATGGAATTTTCTGAGGATCAGGTCCAGTGGTGATTTTAGAATTAACAGCTGTAGAATCTATGGGTTCTACTGAGTTATTAGTAATACATATGGTGGCATCATATTTAATGCTAATTTTTAAAATATTAAAGTGATTTTTTGTTCCTTTGCTTCACTCACAATGTATATTTTGTGTAACTGATGTATTTTATTTCATAGATCAAAGGTTCGTTCAGTAGTAAACGAGGTCAAGAAACTTTTAATCCTTACAGTCATGGGAATGTCTGCTCCAACTGTTTCTATGTGTTATGTGGACCCATACCTCCAAGTCTTATTGGTGAGTAAATCATCACAAGGTGATAGTAATGGCTTCAGATTTTACTTAATTCAGTGAGGATTATGTAAACATAACTTTTATATGCACTGGGAAACCAAAAAATTTGTGTGACTCGCTTTATTGCGGTGGTCTGGAACCGAACTCGCAAATCTCCGAGGTATGCCTGTAAACTAATGTAATTATTTATGGACTCTGTATGGATGTTTGCTCTCACAAGGTTTTAGATGCATGTTTTATAACTTAAACATACTTTATATTACTGCTAAAGTGCATAATAGTTGCATAGGTGGTAGCCTGAAGGTGTGTATGAAACATGTCATATAGTAAAAATATCTACACCTATAGTAAGTGCATAGTGCTTATACATATATTACTTTGTTGTGTGAAAATGGCAGATGATCTAAGTGGTGGTGCTTGTAGTGCTTAAGGTATGAAAATTTAGGTGATCTAAAGCATTCACATAACTATAATGGATTTGAGGAAAGAAACAATTGTCACAAGGCCAAGAACTTTCACTCAATTCGCTTGAGCTTGCTGGCATCAGTAGAAGATAAGGTATTCCATGCAATGGAACCATATTCAAGCTTAGGTCTAACTAAAGTAAAATATAACATGCATTTATGATAACAGCAACAACAGTATAACTGTATCCACAACATGACACTCCAATATGATCTGATGTGATGTAATATTAAAAAAAAGAATTCCTTCTTAAAACATGCATAGTATTAGCACAATGAACCATTTCACAATATTTATTACAATGGTTCAGTTTAGTTACACATATTTGCATTATTTTGCAAGACTTGTGTACAAGGAAATGTAATGAGCCTAATGATGATTAAATTTTAATTGAAGCATGTTTCTTAGAAAATATTTACACCAGTGATCAACTTCTGAAAAACATAATTAAATAGTGTAAAGAATACAGTTTGTCTGATTTAGGTGTGTGAAGTGATTTTGATCAAACAGAACCAATAATAGTGAACACACTGGGATGCTACATATATAATGAAAAATGTATGAGTAAGGTTTTGTTGTTTTGCAGACCGACGAGGTATTGTTACTCCTGAATTTGCTGCTGAGCAAGCCAGGGCAGCAGAAGACAGGGATGCAGTTATTACAAATAACAAAACATATGGAACTGTCAAAACTGTGCAGTCAATGGTAAGAATACTATTATTGTTTGTGTAGAAATAATATGATGTTTTAACACACTGAGGAATGACATTTAGATAACTATATGAAGCAGAGTCTTTCTAAAGAAGCTAATAGTCACTCAGATACTCAGAAAATTACCTACCTTATATGGAACCTAGAGGTTTATTACTGTGTTCACAATAGTCCACCACTGGTTTCTTTCCTGAGCCAAGTGAAAGTATGTTTTTGTACCTTTCTCTTCTGTATGATATTGTTTAGGTGATAACATTCCCATACACCTATAAGAAGATCTGAGCAGGCTCTTGCTGTAGAATGAAGCATCGCAAACACATTTTTAGGCAACTTCTACAAAATTGTTATAAAGTGCAGTTCATTTGTTGAGAAGTACTTGCTGAAGTATACATATTTATTCTATAACATTTCTCTTTAGCATAAATATGCAAAATGAGACATATATTTTAGGTACCTCATACAAAATAATTTCTGTTCCTCTATTTCAACTTGAAATGTCATACAGAAATAAATTTTAAACTGTACTTGAAGTTCTGAAAATGGTACAGTGGATGTGAAATTCTAATGTGAACTTGAATGAAATCCCATGCGACCATAATTTATTTTGTAGAATGGCATAAGTCAGACAGGCAGTCTCACCAGTGAGGCATCCGGCTCCTCACATGTCTTGGTTCCTGTACATCTACAGCAGCAGCAAGTGGTACAGGCACAGTCCCAGCCCCAGCAACCCCATAGCAGCCATAGCAACAGCAACAGCAACTTGCTTCTGAACCAGGCAGTGATGTCTCCTTCACTTGATGGTGCGTATAGAGAGCCTCAGCGTGGTATTGGTACTTATTGGGACATTGTAGGTACTTTTCCTCTAGCTGATACTGGAATTGTCAGTATGGGGGGTGATCGACTGGGAAGACACATTGTTAATAGAGCATGTGGGTATGGCAGTGGAGATCGAGAGTGTCCCAGACACATAAATAATACTCCAAACCAAGGCTGGGGCTCTACATCGGGGCAGTTAAGAAATTATGGTGTTGGGGCTACAGGACCTAATGGTGTTGGTGCTACGAAGGTACATGATGATGGGGGTAAAAGAATGAATCATTCTTTTAGTGGTAATGATATAGGAGTAGTGTTGCACTGTCAGTCACATGGTAATCATCATAGTGGTAGAGGTGGCTTTAAGGGATTAAGTAATCTGGTAGTTGGATTTGGTGAGAATCGGTCATACCAGAATTCTAATTGTAGGGGCGATGATGGAGAGCATTTGCAAAGGCATCTTGTTATCAGTAATCCAAACAGTGAAGATGACGATATCTGATAAGTGTGTAAGACCTACTGGAAAACTTAGAAGACTGCCTAATATTAAGAACTTTCATTCAGTTATAATGCTGTGTAATGTTGATAATTCATTTGCGATTTCATCTGGTGCTGCATTTAGGTAGTGTCTGTTATTACATATTATTCATAATATTGACTCTTATTTTTAATTACTATGTGTACTCAACTGCAAGGTTCATATTTTAAGTGAAATGGTTACAGTTAAACCTGTTTGAAATGAATGAGAATTAGATAAACTGCTGATTGTGGTCTTCTAGTTTGTGACGTGTAGTCTTGTAGGTGGTTACTACCTACAAACCTACACAACATATTTACTGCTGTGATAACCTCTCACCTCAGAAATGAAAAACTGGCTATCAGAAACTTTGTCTTGTCCCAAGAATGTATAGTAAAAAACAATATAACATTGGTCCTATTGAACTTATTGATTGGGGGGGGGGGGGGGGGCTGGCAAAGCAAAGCAAGACTTTCTGAGAAATAGTCTGCATGAATATTTATTTTCTGTTCATATAATTTTCTTTGTTCTTGAAAGGTATTAAACCTGAACATTGGCAGGATGTTTACAAAATACATTATTGAACTGTTGGAGAAGAAAAAAGGAAACTTAAAATATATACTGCTCAGTAATGGTGTAATGTACAACATACCATGAACTTTGGACTTGGGATTTGGGCCATAAATACTTGTTACATGCAATGTGCAGTGTATTAGTGTTTTTGGAGGCCCAGGTACAGCATATGATTTTGGGTCCCCATCATGATTATACCTCAATTCCAGGGTATTGGCAGCCCAAATATTTTTGAAGTACCCTTACCAATTATAAATAGTTGTTTTGTTAATATATATATATATAGGTGAAATTCTTAGTAATTAGCAGATGAATTACTATTTTGTACCTGAGTTTTTCTCACCAAGAACCAATGCTCTACAAATTAAATGATGCAAGTCAGTTACTTATGTGTGAATAAGGTGCAGTCCATAGACTTCTGTGAATTAAAAGCATGGCATTGTCTTCTATGTTCTTTCTCACAGGAAGACTGGATGCTTATGAATTGACAAAGATAGGGAAGGAAATGGTAATGACTTATTTTATCATACTGTCCGAGATGTTTGTCCTTCAAAACAAAATAAACATTAATAACCAACCAATTAACAAACCAACCAAATCATTGAATTTTTAATTCAAGAATGTGGGCTCACTTTTTCATGTCTAATGAAATGCATTGTGCTTTTTATAATTGTGTGTCTAAATGATACTTTGCAATTGAGTACATGTTATGTCAGCAGTATTATTTGCTAAAACTTTTGTATCATTGCTGTTTACTATTCTAAGTATTCTGGAGATTTTTTTCCTACACTCTCAAGAGGATCATTATAATGATGTCAACAGTATCAACAGATTTTGATTAAATTTTATGGAGTTTTATGCTTTTGGTATTATGACAGGGATATTTATACCTTATGCTTTCTACTCTTTCATTTTTGTGATATGAGCACTAACATTTGAAAGATAATTTAAATCTTAGTTTGTGAATGCTTATGTAAAAATGCAGTTGAGGTTAGGCGTTTGATTTCAATGATAATTGCTATTTGGATTCTGCATTAAATGTCAGTCTCAGATGACCTTTATCAGTATTCTTAAAAAGAACACATCATACAAAAAATGAATACATGAAATAAAATGCAGGGTTTATTAAAACTTTACAATAATTACTTGGAATATTTTTATATATCTTGAATGTTTAATGAAATACAAGTAAAAATATTTATTGATGCAAACCACTATCCTTTCTTTTACATAAAATACATGAAATGGGTAATGAATGTTTGATTTGAAATACTGGGTGTTATTGAGATTCAGATATTCAACATAATATGAATGTATGGTCCTTTGTTTATATACTTACAGATTTGGAGCCCTTTGATAATATGAGTTTCCTGCTATAAACTTAAAGAAATACCATGCCATATTTTCTGTATATTTTTCATTTAACTACTGCTGATATAGATAAAGACCTGCAAGTTCAAGTGCTGCTGGATTCCTTGTTTTACTGTCATGGCATGATGAGAAATAAGTAATGTTATGACTTGCACTATTGTGTGTTCACAACCTGAAAGGAATACCATTAGTCTAAAGTTCAGGTTTGCTAATATTTCTGAACATATTGTTGAGCAGAATGAACCAAGATCAAGAGTAAATATTGAGCTAGGTGTTGAGAACTCCATAAGTTTAAGAAAATCTGTTGAATATATAAATTTAGTGCATTGTGTGTCATTTAATGGCTCAAAGGCACTTATAGACAGCGATAGACAAACTTCAGTTTTGTAGTTATGGTTTCTATTGTTTTACTGCATTTTTATTCTTCAGATAAAAAACTGGATTGCCACTGAACATTTCACTGTCCAAGATCTGAACCGAGATTTAGAGAATATGAAGCAGGAGTGCTAACCGCTTGGCCATGATGTTCAGTGGGAATTTCTTAATCAACTGAGTTACTATCAGCTTCTCAAGGAAGGTCTTGCACAGTGGCTTTAACTTAGCAGTTTTCATGTTTTGGTTGTGTCACTTCATTAGAATCAGGAAATGCTTGTTATATAATTGTACCATTGTGTCTGTTTATCTGAAGGGCAGAGGCCTCTTGGGAGACCTAGTCTAAGTTTGGGAAGGTAATATTAAAGTGGATTTTAAAGTAATAGCATATGAGGCTGTGTACTGGATTATCTGGCTGAGGGTAGGATCTTATTTGATAATGAACTTAAGAGTTCTGTAAAAGACATGGAATTGCTGAACAGATTAAGAGTTTGTGAACATATAAGTGGGTAATGGAAGCTTCATTTTATGAACACATTAGAAGGCTGTGGCTGCTTATCCGGTGCAGAATTATGTTCTGCAATTGTTTCACATTCAGTACCTGGGGAATCATACGTAGTTACTTTTATTATTACATAATCAGGATAATCAAATCAAGGAGGAATAGATGAGTAAGGCATGTAGCACACATGAGGGAAGTGAGAAATTCATACAGAATTTGGTTTAAAAACCAGAAGGTAAGAGACCACTTGTAAGACTAGATTCATCTGGCTTAGTATAAGGACTGATGGTGAACTCTTGTGAACATGGTAATGAACCTTTATTTTTCATAAAAAGCAGAGTATTTCTTGATTAGCTGATTAACTGTTAGCTTCACAAAATATACTCTGCTCCATGGCATTAGTTAGTTTACTGTTACTAAAAGTAACATCAAATCTATGTCCTCAAGGGATTATAAAGTATCTTCACATGAAAGAAATTGTTTCCTGAATATCAAGGTGCAAAGTACAGGTTGATGAAAATTTCCAGTCCACATATTAACACTGTGTGGTTGGATCAGTATGCTTGACAGCAATGGGGGAGAAACACTCAGATGAAATTGAGTACACGTGATACGACAGTGACAGAGGTTGTCTGACCAGTACTTGATTCTCTTCTTTCCCTGTGTTATTTTTTATATTGCCTTATCAGTGTTCTTACAGATTGAAAATTTGTTAGGTGATGTTTTTATATGTAATTTTATCTTACAAAATAGTCAGCGGCAATCCAGTGATGATGATGATAAAGTGCTAAGTATATTAATTTTGTATACAGTTTTCCCTTAAAATATGATGCCCAGAATATAAGTAGTTTATTTTTACTTTTTATTATTTCTATAATGTATATATTTCTAACATTTAGGGTGCTTTGCTTAATTTTTCACATTTCTTTGGATATGAATATTTTATTTTGCATTATAAACTGCACACCCATATAATGTGTTGGGTTTACAATATATGACTTTATATTAAATTCAGGGTTTTTTTTTTCATCCAGATATAAAACACATTATAACAGCTTGATATATGAATATGTGCTGTATGTTTTATATTTGGTGTTGAAGATCAAAAATTCTATAATAACTAATTTTAAAGAACTGAGCATGCATTATTAGTAATCTAAGGCACATCATTTATGGCAGCTTTCAGGAAAAACATGTGTACCAGACAATGTAGTAGTATGGTATATTTGTATCTGTGGTCTATCTGATATTAAAAATAGATTGTTTCTCTTTCGGAAAAGTGTTTCAGCATATAACAATGTAAAGCAGGCCATATTGTGCAGTACAGTTAACAGGTTATTTGCATATCTAATATGAAACCATGTTTTGAGATGGGCTCTCTAATTTTATCACCCTGAGCAGACATATTTATATATTTGTTCGTATGTTAAGAAATGGAAATTTATAATGTACCCATACAATTTATTGCAGAAGTGTGTAAAAGATTGAGTAACTGGAACAGTTGCTCTAAGGCCCCAGTCAGTAATACAAGACTAGTGTTTTTGTTTCTCTAACAACACATACTTATGCCTGTGATAACATAGATAAACTAAAAATGTATACATTCTTGTGTAGCATATTCAGCTGACCTTGTGAGAATATCAAAGGATGTC